GGCGGCCCCAACTTGGGGAGGATCTTCACCTCATACTCTTCGAGCATGAGGCCATCCAAAAACTCCAAGGCTGGCTTCTCACCCGAAGCCAGGAAGTCGTCCCCATGGCAGCACACCATGAGGTCATGAACAGGGTGATAGAAAAGCCCTGGCACGGACTCTATCTCCAAGAATCCCCATTTCTTCTTGTTCTTGAGGATCTTTGCTGCCCATTGTTTGGACACTTCTCGCGTTCCATTCATCGCCTTGTTCAGGAACCACAAGCGATTCTGGTCTAAGTCCTTTGGTGGAACCACAGCAATCTTCCCTGTTGAGTCTGCATGGAAGAATGCCACTGATACGTCGTATCTGGCGATAAGCTTCTTGTTAGCACGCGCGCCTGGAGCCTTTGTAGCCGCATGGGACAGGACCATCCGGTGGGCCTTCAACGGAGGCGTCCCAGATGCCACGTCATCCCTTTGGCTCACATTGACTTCCTGAGCCACGCACCGACTCCGGACACCCTGGGGGTCATCTGGGAGTGGCTTCCAGCCATCCACCCATCTGCTCTTGACTATTTTAAGTCCTCGGCTTTTCGCCTCTTCCCAGGTGATGTCCTCCTTGACGTTGTGCTCTAGCATCTTGTCCAGCTCTCGGCCACGTGCTTTCTTGACCTTTTCAACAGGAAGCGCCTCCCCTGTGCGCTCGTCAAACGCACCCTGGCTCTCCAGCAGCCCATCTTCAGGATAAGCTGCAAGCAGCATTTCCTCGTGAAGAGTGGGGAGGCCTCCTATCACTTCTTCCGCGGCTGCTTTAGCAACCGCTTCTTCCACAGGAACCTCTGCAGTCCTCTTGGAGCCGTGCGGCTTCTCTCCGCTCCCTGGCCTTGTCGGCCAACTGCTTCTTGAGGTCCGTGCGGCTTTGCACAGAGTCGGTTCCTCCCGAACCCTGTGGCTCGCTTTCCTGGGCGGGGCCTCCCACACCGGAAGCTCCAACCCCGGAGACGTCCATTGCATCCCCCTCCACAGCCCGTGCCCCCTCTTCGCCCGGCTCTGTGCTGTAGCCTGCGGCCCCTCGAGGGTAGAGTTCGCCGAACCTCTTCCTGCACTCTGGGCTGTGTGGCTTCACTTCTCCTGCAGAGCAGTTGCATCCCGGACAGCCTGGCGTTGGGCCATGTCTGATCTGGCGCTCCAGGGTGATGTATACAGATCTCCCTTTGCGCCCGTCTGGCAGGGTGAGTGGCTTGTTGTCACCCGGTACCACCAACGCGTGCCCGTCACCGCCTCTAGGCGGTGCTTTTCCCATTTCCTGGGCTCCGGTCTCCTCCAGACCGAGCGGCACTTTCGGATGCCCTGCGGAGTTCCCACAACGTGCTCGTCTGCACTGAGGGTCTTACCCAACCAAATACCAATGGAAGTCTGGGCATCCAGCTTGCCCCTTTGATCCTTGTCGATCTTATAGTGGATAGTTTCCAGTGGATCCACTATCTCGCCTTTGTATTCCCGGCCCTTCAGCCGTTCATAGGGCGTCTTTCCATCAGCCTTGATCAGGAACCGGGTGATAAGCCACTCACTGTGACGAATCACCCACGGAAACACCTCGTTGTCACCCTTGATTTGGTATCCAGGATAACGTATCTCGAGGGCATAGACCAGCGTCCTGGCCTGCCTGGCCACCTCTAGGATAGCTCGTTCGGCTGCCCCGTTGCTGGGTCCATGTGTTTCCTTTGGTGCGTGCTGCACCTGGGTTTCCCTTCCGGCCTGTCTGGCCGCTGTATCCACCAGGGCCCGGATCGCGGGCTCGCCGTCCGACATGATGATCACCCTTTGCCTTGCCGCAAACTTGAGGGCCTCGTTCATAACATGAACGGCGTAGTTGTTGACCCCCTTTGTGACCAAGTAGGAGAAGGTCGCTCCTGTCTCCTGATCCACCATGACCAGTATTGGTCGTTGGGCGTCCTCCGCATCAAGGGGCTCCTTCAATGCCTCTGCCGTCTTAGGCATTTCGCCCTTCAGCGCTCTGCCTAAAAAGGCGTAGTCTACGCAGAAACGGGGGACCTCGCCCTTACACTTCCGTGCCTCTCGCAACGGGTGAGAGTCCTCCCTGGACTTTCCAGCGACACAGTGGTCGCACCAGGAGCGGAACGGGAGGTGAGTCATCATGTGATCCCTGTACTCCTGCTCGGATACCAGGTCTGGGACGCGCTTCGATCTAGTCTTGCGCTGGGCCTCCGAGTCTTCCTCTGGTGGATTTCCAAGCGCGGGTCTGTCCGCCGCTTGGCTCGGGTTCTCTGGACCCCTGCTGGAGCTTGACCTAGCTGGGCCTCCCGAGTCTTCCTTTGGTGGATTTTCAAGCGCGGTTCCATCCGCAGCTTGGCTCGGGGCGGTTCCTCCCGCACCCTCTTCGAGGCTCATGGCCTCTGCTGGCACCACCTTCTTCGACTCGGCATATTCCACCGAGAATCCTTGACCATCCGAGGTCTTGAGCCGACTACGTTTCTTCTGGCCTGTGCTTAGGGGCTCCCCGGTCACTGTGACCATTCCAGCTCCCGCGGGGCCACCCACAGGTTGAGCCGAAGTATCAAATCCTTCAGTAAACAAGTGTGACCCTGCCCCCGTATCAACCAGAATATCCCTGAAACCCTGGGCCTCCTGAGGCAGCGTCACTGCCGCCACGTAGTCGCGCTCCTCGGCCAAGGTGGGGCTTGCAAGCATGGGCTCGGGTTCTTCCTCAGCGGGGCTTGCCGCATGAGGCTTGCGGGGCTTACCGCCGTTTCCCTTAGAACCCTTCTTCTTATC